CTCATCTACACTGCGATCGCGACAGAAACCCGAGCGAGTACGAATGGGCCCAGCCCCAGAAAGCTGCCTGGACTATAATGGGAGCCTTCTAGTTTTGTCGGTGTAGCTGAGCTGTAATGGTTCAGTCCGAGGTGCGAACACCTTTGGGACTGATCATCTCTTCTGTCATTAAGCGTGACTCTGGCGTCTACACAGGGACCCTCCCCGGGCAGGATGCGCTCGCTGAAGGTCCGACGGGGCTGTTAAGATGCGCGTCGTTTTTGAAACACAGGCAGTTGAGTAAACAAATCAATAAAAGCCGTGATCAACAAGCGTATTCCCGCAGTAATGTAAAGATGGCGAGACTGCTTCATAACTTGCTGTTGTTGACAGTCGGGCTGACGCTGAAGATCAGAGTTATGGGATACTGGTCTCTCATCTATGGATATTGCGCGCTATGCACGGGCGTAGCGCTGCTCAAACTTGGCTGGAATATCATCCTTCGACCGTCAACAACCTTTCAGTGGACGGTTCGTGAGACACCCCCTGCGTGCCTGAATGACACGTCCTTGGGAACCCACTGTTATGTTAAAATCAAGGTAAGATGACAGTAAACGAAAGCATGTATATCCTACATAAATATAACTTAAAAGCTTTTTTTAATGCTCAGATGTTGCTCTTTCGTTTTTTTCCCCTTTGAAATATGAACTTTGCCTCAGATGTTTCCTTAAAGCTCAGATGTTTCCTTAAACAAAATGAGACGATTGCTGAGTAGCTATAAACATAAACGCGGGTAGCCCACATAATTTCATCTTGATAGAATTTGATGACAAATATTAGTGCATTGAGATCATGTTTTCAGGTTTGGTATCTTGCCAAACCTGAGCACAGTTTGAGATATTGATGATGAGATGCATTAAATCACCTGGTGTTTCACTAGAAGCAGAAGCTCAAGCAAAAGTAGGCTATCAATTTATACTCATTTTAGCCTCATTGGTGTCTAAGCGAAAGATTAAATGGATAGATCCCCCAAAATGAAAATTCTGTCAATTTTACTCATCCTCATGTCATTCCAAAATGTTTCTTTCTTTCTTTCTTTCTTTCTTTCTTTCTTTATGTAAAAGAAGATGCTTTTGGCAGATGTTTTTATTCAAAGCGACTTGCATTGCTTTCCCTGGGAATTGAACCCATGACCTTGGTAGCATAGCACAGTGCTTTATAGGAAAGGGAAAGCCCTAAAGATATTTAAGGAAATGTTTCAGTGTTTGTTTTTGGGGTTTTTTCCGTTTTTTTGGAGGAATGTAATCCAGCAGTAACTCACAACTTTTGCTTGCCAGCATTCTTTAAAATGTCTTCCTTTGTTCAGCAGAAGAAAGAAAGTCATGCCGATTTGAAACAACACGAGGGTAATACAGTTTTCATGTTTGGGCTATGTTTTCTCTTAAGGGATCTATCCCTTTACAGGGATCTCATTTATGATTTTTATTTCCAATGGGGTTGCTCCCAGAAGCAAGCAGTTTCCATCACTGAGCATCAACTGAGCACAAGCAGAGTGATCAGTTTCCCACACAATCATAGTCATTGCCTGGACTTCGCTGTCCACTGGAGTGGTGCTGAAAACAGCTTAGGCAGTCTCAGGATAGATGTGATGAGTATATACCTGCAGAGCTTTGAACTTAACGTTCACACATTAGGTACTCTGAATCTGCACTTTTTCTAAAAACGTAGCATCCCAGCTGAAAAAATGTACACTTCCATTAAAAAATTTATTTAGTCACCACTTCTTGTAAATTTGTGTATCAGTGTATGAAAGATGGTTCAAGTGTACTACAAGTGGTAACTAAATCCATTTTTTAAATACAGAGATAGTATGTTAAAAGCGGATTTTTCATATTCATGGTGTCCCAAAATAGCACAGTTGAGTACACTGAGATGATCTTAAGTTTATCTTAAGAAGTACTAAAGAATCATTTTTAGTATGTTAAGTACAAAAATAGTGCGTGAAAATAAAGCACTTTAAGTACATTATGGAAGTACACTTGTTTTTCACCTGGGATCCTTTGAAATCTTAGAAAACAGCCCCTTTAAGTTTTGTTCCTGAGTATATAACTTTTGTAACGTGGGATATACAAACGTTTCTAAAGAAAAATATTGTAAAAGTCTCTGCAACCGCTGGAATTGAGGGATTTGGTATAAAAACTCTGGCATCAACTGTGATCTCTATCTGAAAGTAAAATAGCAAGTGACCTTGAGGAAATGAACTCCTTTTTTTAAATGCCGAGTGAAAACATTACATTTTATCAGATATTTTTTGAGGTGAGATGTTTTTCACACCCACAACTTGTTTGTATTCAAAAGGAAAATTCTGCATTGCAAACAATGTTCTTGAAATAGCCAGACAACCCGAGGATACTATCGCATGCAATTTGATGCAGGCTGTCATTTAACAGGGGTATGAATTTTTCCATAAATGTCAATGGAAGATATTGCTTTAATATTAGCTGAAACCTGCGGACACGGCTCCCCCTCTCTAGTGCATTTTATAGCTCTATCAAGCAGAGAGTGATGTGAGAATGGATTTTACATCAGGATGGACAGGCCCGTGTGATTAAAGAGAATGTACTGCTTTTATCATATCCTCCGTTTATAGTGAAGAATAACTGCCTGTGGTCTCTATGGTTTTAGGAGTCTGGACTCAGATTTCACTATGTTGCTGCTGGAGAACGAGGAAAGCCACTTATGCTGTTTCTGCATGGATTCCCCGAGTTTTGGTGAGACTCAAACACACTCGCACACACAAGGGAAACACTTCTCTACTGGGATGCTGCCAGGCACAGATCGGAAATATGTTGTTGTGGAATCACTCCACATTATACACATGGAGTCATAGATAATATTTGAGACTCAAACCTTCCCTATCAACACAACTCTTCAGTCAGAGTCAGAGCTGTGTCTATTATTGTTATGAAATGTAAAACGGGCAGTATAATGTATTAAACAGTCCTGAAATGTGATATGGAGTACAGTCGTGACATTCGGACTGTCTTGGGACCAGTGAAGCTGTCGTTTCAGTGAGCTGTCAGACTGCTGAACTGCGATCAGGACAGGACTGTGCCTAATTAATGTGGCACGGCTCCTTTCTGCTTCACTGGCCAATCTACTGCTCCAGAATCAGTGATGAAGTCTTGGATGAGTAGAGGAGACCTGGAGGACACCCTTTTCTTCTGACTTCTGCTCCACTTTAGTTTGGTGCATTCAAAAAGTGCAAGTCAAAGATTTCTCTCTGCTGCTGAGCAATAGAGAAATGTGGAGGTTAAAATAGGGTGTGTGTGTGTGTGTG